TTTAGTACATTAGGTCATTTTAATAAATGCATGTCGATTGACATTATGTTGGTTGCATCCAGTCTCAAACCTTGAAAAGCCCCCTGAACAAGATCCATAACCATGCCTCTAATATTAACTACGTTGGTTTTGTTTGTGCAAAAACTTTTTTTAATTTTGTGTAATTAAAATTTTCCATTTTATCTTCTGTGATCCTCTCTATCCCATGTTTCATCATAAACTCATTCCCTGTGCCTAGATCTGAAAGAAAATATCTTTCTTATTCCTCTAATTTGTTTAACAATGTGATCTTCTACATCTAAGTCTTATAACAATTTGGAGTTTATCTTGGTATATGTCATGAGGTGTTAGTCACAGCAGCTCTTTCTGTGGTGTCAAAGAACTAGAAAATAAGAACCTGTACATCTACTGAGGAAAAGCTGAACAAATGATGGCATATGGATGTAAGGGAATATTGCCACATTGTAAGAATGATGAAGGGGATGGATTCGGAGAAACATGGGAAGACTTGTATGAATTGATGCAGAGCAAAGTGAGCAGAACCAGGAGAATAATTTTTACTGTAACAACAGTATAAAAACAAGTAACTTTGAAAGACCTAAAAACTTTGATCAATACAATAGCCAATTATGATTCCAGAGGACCAATGCTATATATAGAGCCTTTATATAGCAGTTTCAAGATTTGCAAAGTTGTTTACATGCGTTATATCATTGGATCCCCATAGCAACCCTATGAGAGAGGTGCCATTATGATTTCTATTTTACAGACGAAGAAACTCAGGTTGAAGGAGGTTAAGTGACTAGCCTAGAGTCACGCAGCAAATAAATATCTGAGGTAGGATTTGTACTCACATGTCCCTGACTCCAAGCCCAACAATCTATCCTCTGAGTCAATTAGCTGCCTAGACATCTCCTGCCAGAGATGTGCTACATTCAAGATTTAGAATGAGACATATTTTTGGATATGGACAGTATGGACATTTATATGATTTTACTAGGAATATTTTAACAGGTTTTTTCCCCATTTTCTTTGAAATGTAAAAAATGATTATTAATTGGAAAAAATAAAATCCATAATCACTCAAAATTTAAACTGATCATCTGCAGAAGAAAAGGTACAGTAATTAGGAATGTCTGTTAGTGTCTATAGTATGTCATGTAGTTAGATTAACAGCTTACAGAGGTTCTTAATTTTATTTTTTATTTTTTTATTTTTTATATATATTTCAAGGACCCCTTTAGCAGCCTGATTAAAACCATTAATCCCTTCTCAGAATAAAGCATTTTGAATGTAAAGGAACAAATTATTTTGAAATAGTCATCAAAATATGATTTTTTTTAAAATAAAAGAACAAGTTCACAGTTCTCAGATAAAGAATTCATGCTATGGAGCTCATAACTTGGACAGACACTGCAGATATTCATATTTGCCCAGTCCCAATTAAAAACTAGGGAAAACAAAATAATTTGACCTAATTAGACAAATGAGTTAGGCCCAGAATTAAACAGGAAGAGGGGTAATAGTGGCTTAACTTTTGAAAAAATTGCCACGTTCTTTTGGCACTTTTTCCCCTAAAACAAAGACCCATCTTTTTAAAACCAGTATTCCATTCATATTAGTATGTGTCTCAAGCACATTAGATAAAGTTCTGGGACTGGAGTCAGGAAGACTTGAGTTCAAATGCTTACTAGCTCTCTGTCCATGAACAAGTTACTTAATTTTTGTTTGTCTCTATAATTGGAATAATAACAGCATGTACCTTTCAAGGTTGTTGTGAGGATTAAATAAGATGATACTTGTAAGTAACATCCAGCACAGTGCCTGGCACACACTGCTTATTCTCTTCCCTCTACCTATGGAATGGAGTATCACAATCTCTGAAGAATTTAAAATAAGCATCATTCAGAGAGCGAAAGGTAGATACTCATGATGGTTCTGAGTAGGTTGCAACACAGAAAGAATTAAGAAATGACAGAGAAGCATCAGAATTAAGAAAACCAGTAAGGATATGGAAAGAAAAGGAAGATGTATTAGTCTCATGTAAAGAATGAGAGATAACCAATGGAGAACACATGTACACTGGTCTCCTTACAATATATCCTTACAATGTAGGTCCCTGCACCATAATTTGACCTGGCAGGGCACAGACAGGAGATAAACAACAGAGGCAGATACAAATGGGTTGTGATTGAGTTAAAGGTTGCCTTCTCCTAAATTGCACAGCTGAGGCAGAGCAGAGCATAAACGTACCAGGAGGCCCCTGCCTCTGTTTTCTTGTTTAACTTGTCAGTTACTGATGCATAGCTATTTTTAAGCAGTAGTTTTCTATTTGTGCATTTTGGTATAAGAATCATCCATACTACCTTAATTGGAGAGAGACTGACTTTTTGACTTTATATTATTTACACAGTAAAGGATTTGTTGGCAATATAATTCTCTCTTCTGATTGTTCCTCATTTAGCATCATGGGACTGTTATCAGTTGTGACAACTGTCAGTTGTGTACAGTTCCCATATATGAAATATTCACATCAAGGAGACCACAAATCCATTTGAGAATTTTTTTAAGAATAAATGAAGATTGATTTTTATCCATCTACCAGTCTGTAAAAGTCTAATGGCAATCCCCATCTCAGTCAACAAATGTATTATTTTAAGAATGAATACTTTCAGTATCTCCAATAATGTTGTACTCAGAAGCTTCATTGGGTTAGAAGGTGACCCTAGATTCTCAAAGATATGCCAACACAGGACATGTTTTGACAAATCCTACCAAAATGTAAAGACTTTAACTAAGAACCTGATTATGGACTCTATTTATCATTCCAGATGAACTTAACCAACTTTGAAGAGAGTCACTACCAAAGGGAAGCTAGTAGGGGATGGGTCTTTTATTAGGTCTTTATACCTCATATGAACTAATTCATAGATGAATTGGAATCTACATAAATAGAATTTTTTTTCCATTGTTGGAATTAAATTTTTTAAATGTTGGATAAGCTTTCAATAACTAATATTTTACTCCAATAGATCTATTAAAACAGTTAGAAGGTGTGGTCGGTAGAATGCTAAACTTGGAATCAGGAAGACTTGAGTTCAAATACTGCTCTAGTCTCTTATTACCTGTGTGAACCTAAGAAGTCACATGATCTCAGTCAGCCTCAGTTTCCTCAAATGTAAAATGGGGATAATAATAGTGCCTACCTCACAGGGTTGTGGTGTGGATCAAATTTATAACATATATATGTGTTTGAGGTTGTTGAAGCACTTTACAAATATTCTCTCATTTTATCCTGAGACACCATATGTAAAGCTTTTTGCAATGTACTATATAGATGTTAGGTATTGTTATTTTTATTGTCTCATCATTATGTTGATATTCTCTTGAATGATGCTTATTGTAATGCATTCCTACCTGTCCGTGTTGTGTGACTCTCATCCCTGACTTCCCCTTAGTTCACCACAAATGGCCCACTTAATATACTGGGCCTTTCTTCACATTTATAGGATCATAGATTTAAAGGTGGAGGGGACCTGAAAGGCAATTGAGTTCAACCACTTCATTTTATAGAAGAGCAACTGAGGCCCTGAGAAGTTAAGTGATTTGTCCAAAGTCACACAAGTAATAGACAGCAGAGCTCAGATTCATGTCCAGGTCTTTTAGGGTCAAATCCAGCATATTTTCCATTGTAGTAACATCATGAAGATAGCAGTGGAGTGTGTGGGCTGTCTATTGTATGTCTTTTTATTTTATTTTATTTTATTTTTATTGAATGTGAACTTTCATTGCTACCTTTCTCTTCCTTTTTCAAAAGTTTCATTCAAAAAACATATCCTGTTCACTGGGCTATACCAGTGAATACCATCAATAAAAAATAGAAACTTTGTCAGTCCTAATTCAAAAGTTAAAAAAATAAGTGATACTTTGACCCAGGGGTGGGTAACCTGTGGCTTCAAGGCCACACATAGCCCTCAAATGTGGCCCTTAGACTGAATCCAAACTTCACAGAACAAATCCCCTTAATAAAAGGATTTGTTCTGTAAAACATGAACTCAGTTCAGGGCCACATCCAAGGACCTAGAAGGCCACAAGTGTCCTGGAGGCCTCAGGTTCCCCACCCCTGTGACCTAATTAGGGAAATTTACCACCAATTTCTATAGTACATAGGCATCCGTGTTTTATGTTTTAATTCAATCATCACATATGCTATTCCCAACACAAAGCAGAGTTTGTCAATGTTTACATTGCCATTTTAGTGTTTCAATAGGGCATAGTTATGGCAATATCTCCTCCAAGATCTAATGGAAAGATTTGCTTTAGGGGTGAAAAAATAACATGCTTCATCTTCTTGGAAATACTAAATATTTTTTCAGTTATAATAAACCTGAATTTCTTAAAACATTTCATTCACTAAAATTTATTAAAACAATTGTATTCTGCTAAAATGCATTGGAATTTCAAACTTTCCAAATGTATAATCTCCAATGCAGAGGTTGAAAAGAAATAAACAACACCAAAAAATCTCTCTGGATTACTGTAACAAATCTACTCTTATAGATATGGGAATAATACGTTTTGTTCCATCAACATGTCCATTTTACATTATTCAGCATAAAGCTTTGTGAAATAAGAATCCTGGGAATATCAGAATATAAAGGAAAAAGGTACAAATAACAGCTTCATAAACTGAGAAATGTACATAAATAAATCATGTAGATGTGGGCAGTTTGCTTAGCTGGCAAGAAACAAAACATGGAAAATCTGCTTGTTAAACAATAACCACAGAGTGTGCTTTTATGATGTTTTTCACCACAGTAATTCATATTAGAGATAGAAGCAGTTGCATGTTAAATAAAATCATTGAGCATTGTTCCCTGCACGTTGCAAAGAGCTGACTTATGTTGTTTTTAGATGCCTCCCATTAGAAAGTAAATATTCCTCCAATGTTATACATTTCACAAAATTTAATAAAGATGAACAGTAAATAAAGTCACAGAGAGATTTCAGACAGTTTTATTAGCAGATTGTTGAAAAGAAAAAGAAAATTAAATACAATAACAGTAAACGTGGTTCTCACATCGAAACCAGGCTCAAATAACTAGGCTACCATAGAAAAATTTCCAATTCTTGCATTATGATGTAAAAACAGATTTTTGTACAGATTTTGTACAACAAAATTCGTAATAACCTTTTTTCATTTTTAGAAAACTTTAAATATATAGATAAAAATAGACAATTTTCATAGGTCCTACATGAAGATGAGTATGTTCTGTTCCAAGGGCTTGCATAGAGCGCAAATGTGGTTATAATATAGAACAACTAGACATGAATATCTTTAAGATTACAAAAGCATATAAACAATAGCATGAGCACAATTTTATTCATCATCTATGCAAAACAAACAAACAAATCAACCTGTATAACTAAAGAGGGACAAAAAAAAAAAACCCTTAACTTACGGTAACATTTCGTGAATTGTAATATTTACACCATGTTAGTAAGCTTCTTTCTTAACATATAACTGATAGTTTTTTCCCCCTTGATCCACGTGAACATTTCCATTTATGTCAAACCAAACACTGAGGCATTCTCAAAAGTATGGAAAGAATATATTTAAAAACTAGTAAACCTACTTACAGGTGACTCTATGCAAGGAGCAGAGCAATGCCAGATGCTACTACATATTTTCAGCTGTAGGCTTTTTTTTTTCTCTTTCCAAATATCTATGATTCGAAAGCTTGCCATAAGTCCATCCGATTCTGAAACTGTTACCCTTTAAAGACTGTATATGAAAAAAAAAAATAAACCTAGAGTATAGGGTATCATGCTCAGGCAACAAAGAGGACAGGAAGGGTAATGGAACAAACATGCTTAGAAAACAAAGTTCCTACAGAGAACTTAGTAACAATATTTTAAATGAAAACATATTGCTCCTGTTCTTAAGCAAGCTAAAATGTGAGCTTGTATATACAACTTGTTAATTTGTTTTTTACCTTAAGAAAAAAAAAGCTGAAGTGAATTGGTGATGGGCCACATGAAAGAAATGTGTACCAATATTGCAAGGAAGACCTAAAAATTATATGAGCTCAGCTCTAGAATTTAAAAAATACTGGATTTTTTTTGGATCAAATAACTTTAATATCCAATTGAACTATATTTCAAAAAATGTTAGGTATTTTTGTTTTGATATGTTTTCATGTAATAAATAATTTTTGATGAGCACAGAACTTTAAAGATAAAGAAAGTAAACTCACAAAAGTATAGTAACAGTGCTGATTCATGAAAATCAGTCTTTAAAGGGATAACCCCAAATTATGCAAAAACCAAGAGAACTCTAACTTAATTATGCTAGAAGCACTGTGTTGCAGCTTATTTCCAGTTATCTGCACAAAAGTGAAAACACATACTGTAGCTTTCAGAAAGACAGTGAAAAGGACACATAACTACCTCTCCCCAGAATCAGGGTGGGTAGCACAACAGACTTCAACTTTATCACTCCGCGCTACGTGGTATTGGACTGATACATCAAGTGTTTGTTAGGTTTTGTTTTTCAGCAACATTAACATAATATGACATTAACATATAAAAATATTTCTGGTGTTTCAACTTGCAGCTCAGCCACGATCCATTCTCCAAAGTGCTGTTGAGGGCACTAACCATGGTTCAATTTACAAATCAAAGTGGCTGACATAGAGTTCTGATGTCACCAGACGCTTAAGATCTCATTCATTAATACTGTGACTCCAGGACAAATATTTACATGCCTGCATGCGTTAAAACTAGAATGGTGTCTTTCTGACCAACAGGGTGACAAAACATATTTTCTAAAATTTCATTTTCCTAAACTCTAGTATTCTACTGCATACATAATACCTTCCTTGTGTGGTTTGTGTTTATATACTGTACATGTGACCAACAGTTTGAATAAGAAGTAAAATCTCCCTCCCCCCCAATTAACCCCTACCAGTTGAGAATGAGAAATTAATACCCTACCTATTATTTTCAGGAAAAGAGGCCTTGAGAAGAATCAAACAGTTTGGTGTTTCTTTTTACTTACATAAAATTTTACTTAGCTGTTACTTAGCATCCATGTATATTGGTCTCTTGGGAAATACGTGAAAAAATTTCTTCAGGAGAAAACTCCCAATTAGTAAGGTTGGAATTCAGTGTAACAGAATAGTATTCTTAATTTACTTATTTTATTTATTTTTTAATTTTTTTTAGTTATCCTCTCATGCCCCCTTACAGGTTCTTTTCAGAATGGTCTTGCTGGTTTCTGGAGGAAACAACAGTCTGTAAGTTTGGGAGGTCACTGCTGGAAGGTTCTTTTGATGTGCTCAAATACAGAATTGTCAGTGGAGTACAATGTTTTCATTCCATTAAAAAACAATGCTAGGCCTTGTTTGGGCCTGCCTGTGATTCTGTATACAAGTGTCCAGCAGCAAAGTTGCAGTAATTAATTGTAAGAAGGATACTTGCACATTTACAAACATTCTCAGGGTCTCTAGCTTGAGCCACTAGCGAGAAACAATGAAGGAAATTTCGGTAGAATGCTTTAAACTTTTGAAGAACATTGATACACAAAGATGAGGAAGTCCCTTGTGAAAGTATTTTGTTTTTTCTGTACTTCCCAATGGTGAATGTCTTACTGCAAAGTTCTTTACCATAGAACAGGCTTCTTCAATGGGAAGATTCAGTACATGACAGTAGTTTTCAAATAAAGTCGTCCATCTAAAAGCAAACAAACAAAAAAGGAAAAAAAAATCCTTAAAGCATGTACTTAAGGAAAAAGCACAGACATGCAAAATCCATCTAATCCAATGAAAAGCTGGTGTTTTTGATTCAATCTTTTATTTGTCAGTGATATAACATCTTTACATACCCGTGAAATGAAACCAATGAGTACATGTGGTTTGTAAGATGGAAAGTGTGTGCCTTCTAGTACCTCTAAATTTACAGTATGTGCTGACTTTGTACCAGTGCCAGGACACAAAGAAAACAGTGTTTTCTTGTGTATTTTACTGATATGCAAACTTCATTAATTGCTGTTGAATGGTAATTACTCCTTCTTTGCTTGCAGAACCAAATTTTTCCTGCATGTATCAGGATATCTCTATCACGAAAGGTGATAGAGTCCCACCTTACACTTCAGCTGCCATTGCTAAAGATACATTAAGGTCACCATTGTACACATGTGTAGGTATTTTCTACGAATTCCAGTTAGCCTATTTCATTACTATCAGTGAATTGCAACCTTTCCCCCCAAATTACTCTGTTAATGTCCAAACACTTCACTCATTTTTAAATGCTCAATTGAGAAACAAACAATGAAGGGAGCCTGTCCTTTGAAAAAACCACAGAAAATAAGGACTTGGCAATACAAACATCTAGTTCCCTCAGTACATTTTAACATTTTATAGAGAGTGAAATTGTCCTACTCTTAGACCAGATCTCTATGGTATTATTGTGATAAGGAACTTCCAATGAAGAAACTCTTTCTATCAATGCATCTACTAGGCAAGTTGTACTCTTCAATAGTTGGTTAGAGCACTGAAAGATTATTAATTCACTCAGGGTCATCTAGTTATGTATGTGTCAGAGGAAGGATTTGAACTCACATCTTCCCAACTCCAAAGCCAGCTCTCTATCCACTGTGTAATATTATTTCTCTATATAATAGCCATCACATTTACCTATAATGATAAGAATTTATCTAACTTGAATTCAATTATTTCGAAAAGTCAAAATGTCTTAGAGTTATGTCAATTTTAAAAGCAAGTATTACCAAGACTAATTATAAAAGTGGAAAATGACCACAAGAAAAAGGTCAGGTATTTTTTGTTTTGTGTTCCCTTAACAATGTAATAGTGATACTGCCTTTCAATGGAAATCAATAGACTTTCAAAAGAAATTATATTCCAGACAGTAATAGTAACACAACGTAGAAATTTAGGATTGAATTGTATTATTTGACTAAAAACATGGCATGGAAAAAAACACATTATTAAAGATAGAATATTTAAAAAAAATTAGAGGGAACTCACTAATCAGATCAGGAGGGAAGTTTAATATCCTCTTTTATCATTATTACACTGTCTTTAGTTTGTCACTTTCCTCAGCATTGACTAGGGCCCACCCATAATTACTAGGATACTGTACAAACACAAGACCTATCTTGTAAGTCAGCATTAATTAAAAACAACTTATGGCACAATTTTAATAAAACTCTGTTCTAATGTTTCACCACAGCATGGGGTTGATTTTGGCTTCTAAAAGTCTATTCTAACAGAGCACAAAATCTGGTAAATCCCAGCAAACTGAAAGGGCTAAAAGTTAATGATTGGGGGAGGGGACAACCATCTATGAAGAGTTAACTATTAAGGTGTGGCATAGTTGTGACTACACTGGTCTAGAAGGAAGCCATACCAATGAAATCACAGATCTTTTGGACCACTGAAGAAGCTCATCACCATGGTTTGGATGATATGTAAACCTGGAAGCTGGTTTCTACTTTTTAAACATTTATACCCATTCTTTCATTAGTTGCACACCAATGGTTGCTATTTTTCAGGTGATGGCCTAAATTGTTCTTTTGTGTCTGCCTTGACTGACCTATGGGTAAGAAATTCTGTTTATCTAATTCTATCTTTCACCATGTATTAATATTGACTTCTTTCCAAGTTATTACTTTAATTAAAATATATTTTAGAAGGAAAGTCAATTTAATATTACAAAAATAAGCTGGTTACATTTCAGTTTTTCATATTCTTACTCTCAACTAGATAAACTTTCAGCAAATAACTTTAATCTACTATTTATTTTCAGGGTAGCTTAAATATCAACCAAAAGAATGAAAAAAAAAGTATCAGGATGTTTATGTAGGTATATATGTATATATCGGTGTCTGTCAATCAGGCTAAATATTTATACATTTGGAGAGAGAATATATATACATATATATATATATAAAAACATCATTATAACCTAACCTTTTTTTTTAATTTTTAGAAAACTTTTTTTTCCCTTTCTTCTTCTTATTGATTGATTCTAACACTTCTCTCGATTTCTTTCTACCTTCAAGTCTAACCAGTAATACAATTTTCTTTCCTTATCTAGATCAGCATCTTTAAAAAATCACTATATTTGTTTTTCTATCGTATGTATTTTTTTCAATCTTCCCATCATCCTCTACATTCAGATCATTTTAAAGTAGAATTCTTTCCATTGTCTATAGAGATATATAGCAAAAGCTTATTCATGGCACCAAATCAGTGGTCTCTGTTGCTCTTTGAATTGTAAGTGCATTGAAGAGGGACAAAAAAGAAATTAAGCAAGGACTTTTGTAAAAAGACCTTTTTTATTCTTCTGTGATGCATGAAGCATCTGCAATGGTTGAGCAAATCTAAGGAAAAAGAAAGCAATGAATAGATGAAAAGTAATTCATTAAAGTATGCATTTAAGAAGCCAAAAGAATCCAGGTAATACAGGATGATGACTTTATTTTTCATTGGCTAAAATGTGAAATCTACATGTCTCTCATTCACATGTAGAATGAGACAGTAAGTATATCAAAAATTAGAACTTCCAAAAGAAGTTACATAGGATTTATTTTCACATATAAGTGATCTTGACTGTGTATTAGTAAATACAAAGCTCCTTCACCAAAACATTAATGTAGTCAAAAAGTGATTTGAGGCTACATTATTCTATTAACTCCATATTTTATACACATTTTTTGTGGCACTAGCTTTCCTTGAATTCTTCCCTTAAATCGTTTAAATTTTTGTCTCAACTTTTAAGCACGCAGAAGAGAAAACCAAATAAAATATTTAGATACTTGATATTCTCTTTGGAATTTCTTAAAAATTCATATAAACAAAACTTAAACCTACTTCTGTAATGATATTAAATAGATAACAAAAATAAAGTTTTTTTAATTATATGCATCATAACTAGCTCATAAACAAAGAACACTTTGAAGTTATTTAAATACTCTATATGAATTACATATCTGATACAGTTATCAGGTCCTTTTTAATATAGATATGTCATATATTAACTTGACTAATGTGTCTAACAGATGGACAAATGTATCAAACATTAAAGATGTCAGCTATAAACACAGCCCACCTGCCACAGTTGGTATAGTTAAGGAACCTTCATAATTAAGTTATACTTAGATCTCAGAGGTTTTCTGCAGTTGAATACTATCTACCCTAATCTTGTAAAAGGTCTGTTGTGGGCAGGGGAAAAAAAAAGCAGAAAAAAAAAGAACTACCTCTGGCCGTTTGTACGAAATCAAACATTAAAAGCAATTCTACCCTACTATTTCCTCAGCCATATCAAAACATGCTCCTGGAAACTTCAATGGTTATAGAAAGAAAAGAAGCTTTAACTAGCTTTATATTTTTCTCAAAGAGTTATATTGGTCCAGGGACCTATAGTATATAGCATCATATAGACATACACAGAGAGCTAACAACAGGCAACTGAATTATAGCACTATACTTCTATCTCAGGGTTCTGATGACAAACCACAAGAGTGAAAGGCTAGTGGCAAAAGCCCTGGAAAGGAATTATAGGTCCATAATTCAAACTGTTCCAGGTTTTTATTTTATATAATAACAGATCCAATACCTTCTCCTTCCCCTACTCTTCAAACAGCTACAGAAGTCATGGGGGCACAATGAAGGCACTGTCAAAACAAGCCGCACGCCCAGAAATTGCCACTGGAATGACTTGAGCATTTCCATGGCTGGGGGATCATAATTCAAAGGTCTGTTATTTGTATCTGGGAATTCTAAGGTTTTCTTTTTCTTTTTTTTTTTCTTTTAAGGGCTATACTTCACATTGTATTCTTCACTGAAATCTCCTTCTCTCTTTCTCTCCCCCCACCATGACACGTGCACAGGTACACACACACACACACACACACACACACACACACACACACACACTCACTCACTCACTCCCAAAACCAATTTCTTTGCTTTATAATCTGATTATGTTTACACTGGTCATGGGGGAAAAAGTTGCGTTGAGCCAGAGCTGCAGTGGAACTGTTTTATTCACCTCTAATTTGTTGAGAGCAAATAACTAAACAACTGGACCAATTTTTAGGGGGTGCATTGACTTTCAGAGGCCGCAAGTGGGCAGCTGGATCTCTTACGCCATGTTCAAACTGTCCACCTTGCAAATCCTAACTCTATGTGATCCACGTGGTGGCAGTGACATTCTTTAGGTCATGTGGTCCTAATGGAATAAGAAAAGGTCATGAATTATAAAACAGAGTTCCTTGATGCCTGAAATATAAGAACAGCCCGTTCCCTTGGCAGTACTATTATTTGGCTTTCTACCAGAGGTTGGTATGATAGGAAAATCATCAAGTTAAACTTTGTGTATGGGAGTACTTAATTAAAAAGTCATCTCTAATTAAAAGCATTTGGGAGTAGGGGTTGAGTGAAACAGTTTAAATTACAAATTCCTAATAGTTTAGAAGTTGGTTTTGACTTGACGCTTGGAGCTATAATTCAGCATGTGGGGAAAAATTTAGATCACTAAACAGATTATGCATGCCTGGTTCTTAACTTGCCTAATTTTTTATTATTATTATATCTAGTGAATTTTGTTTTAAACTAAAGGAATATTCAAAAAAATAGATTATTAAAATAGAGCACAACTTTCTATTTTTAAGTTGAAAGATACATCTAAGCATTAAAAGCTTTGAAAAA